TGTGGATGTGTAAGTTGTTGTTTTTTTTAGTTATACAGTATGTGCTCCATGGGCTGACGCACACCGGGCTTCTGTTTACCATTTTCTGTCTGCAGCCCCTTTTAGTACAGTAACTGCGCAGCAGGAGGGAAAAAAGCACTAAAGCTGAAGGGATCCTACTGCCCTCTCATGAAGCACTGTGGTTGTGACACCTCTGAGAAACAATGAACCCAATGAGTCCATTTCCTGTGGGGGGTTGAAGACCAGCAGTGTCCCAGCAAGCTGGTGCCGTTTATTAAGGCAATAATGACGCTTCCTCCTTTCGCCAGCAGAAAGAGGGGAAGCATGTCGATTTCCCCATGCTTTAATCCACAGAGACTCACATTTGCACCCATTTATACAGCTGTGTTCACCGATTCAATTAGAATTATGCAGAGTGCTATGGTGGGGCAGCAGTCAGCGATACTGCCTCGCGGGGCTGGGGTCTCGGGTTCGACTCCTGGGGTGCTGGCAGAAGCTGCCACGTAACAAAAACAGGATCTGAAAAAAACGGATCGCTTCGGTGACCATTGCCTTCGGTTTACAAACCCAGTGTGTAACGGCACAAGTCCCTAACGAGTTGGATTCCTTGATTCAAATGAAGAAAACATGAAATTGACAAAAAAAAAAATCAGATTAAAGAACAAATGACTTAACAGCAGGAGTGGATGCGGGCCTGTTTCTCTTCAGTTATCTTCGCCTGCCTTTCAAAGGACGAATGTACAACTCAGGGCAAGGTTATTTATATTTAAATGTAATTTGCAATCTCGCAGCTGAGCTCGCCTGGCCATTGTGTCGGAGGACAGAATGATACAGCTGCACAAAGTGAACACAGAGGGGAAAAAGCAGTCCATTATCGCCAATAAACCACTCAGTGCCCCCAACGAAAACAAGCACTGGGTTAAAAAAAAAAAAGCCTGGTTACGGGACGCAGGTCTTGTACATCTCGTACGCAAGACCCAGCGAGAGGATTTTGCTTCCATTTACCTTTCGACACAACCCTCGTCCGTAAATATTTTCTGCGACCTGGCACCCAACTGATGTGTAAGGAAAAGATCCAAGTCTTGGAACAAATAAGAAAAAACAACAAGTCCCCAAGGCAAAGCAGTTGTTCGTCCACATTAAAACAGACTCCTGTGATTCATTCAGGAAACATCTAATGCAGTTTCACATTTTCATAAATATTTTAAAAGACGCGTCTGGTTTGGAAAGCGGCACACGTGTTACAGGGGGACTCCCAGCTGCAGCCAATGTGTGCCCGTCGCTGTCGCTCAGTAATCCCGGGGCCTGCTGTAAACGGCCCGCGCGAGGTTTATTTCGTGCGCCGAGACACCTTTGCGGCCTTCGCTCCCAAAGACTGAAGATGCCAGCGAAAAATAAAAATAAATTTAGCGCCTCGCTGCTGTTCCTAACATGTTCACGGTGGTGCCTGCCAAGTTATTCCAGGAATTTCTGGTAGAGATTTGTTTCTAAAGCCGAAGGAACAAAGGTTTTCTTTTGCGGCCGGGAATCCAACCCCTGCCCCGGGATGGTCCCCCATTCCTCTCCTGGCAAAACGCGGGAGCTGTCCTGTCCAGTTCAACCATTACACCGCCCTGTCAGGGAGAAGAGCAGGGAGGCTGGGAGACATCCACAGCCAGCTGAGAGAAGAATTCGGGTTTTTAGGTGATGCTGGGAGAAAAGCATCTTGAGGATGAACTCTAAACTGTTTAAACTGTAACTGTAGCCGTAAAAAAAAAACACTGAATTGTTAATCAAACGCAAGCCTGGTTTCTTGCTAATTCGGAGTGCTCTGGACAAGAAGGAAGAAGTTACAAATGGAATGCATTTAACTTTTGAAAAGAGTGTCCAAATCTTATACCTAACGTGTAGAAACGCAAGCCAAAGCTGTTCATTATTTACGGTCAGGGTAAGTTCCCAGCTTGCATCAAAAAGCGTATTTTTCTCATACAAAAAAACCCACTTTGGCTCAAGACAATGACTGCATCTGGGCCTGTTTGCTTTTTCGGAGGGCACCAACACCTCCTTCGCACACTCTGCCTGCTCCTTAACGAGCCGCAGTTCAGAATTGGAGCATACAGAGTAGAGACGGCGTTTCACCCCTCTCCTCTAGCCTTGACAAGACATCCGAAGGCTCACCGGCCTGGTATCCATATCTGTGCATTCCAATAAACAAGAGGAGCGCCCCTGCCCGTGTGGTCAGAGCAGCCCTAAACAAATTACCCTGGCAGGTCTGTCAGCATGATAAATCTACCTGAGCAGTGCATTAGCTAAAGCATTGCCAACCGCAAACAGGGTCACCATTTCGGGTGTTGTAGTGTCCTGGTGCGCACAACCCCCATTGCGCTGGAGATCCCAGGCCTCTGCAGTCTGCAATGAGTGTGCTGAATGTGGTCTGTTTTAAGGGCAAAGGATCCTCATGTTGTACAGACACCACCGCACACATAGGTGGTATCAGATGCAGGTTAAAGGTAGTATCTTGTATCCTCTACCTCCCACTAAAAGAAAATAAAATGCTCAGACAGGCCAATTTATTTTTAAGGGGTGACATGTAGAACTGCCCTCTCTCTAGCCACACACACTGCAATAATGGGGAACAGTGCTGGGCATTGCCCTGAACTCCGTAGGCCTTATTTGGAACATTTTCCACCTGTCTGCTATCAGGCAGCCAGTTTTCCATGGCAAGCTTCGGCCGACCTCGGAAGGTGCGACTGGGAGGACAGACTGGGAGCCCCCCGGATCAGACACTGGTCCATCAGTGGGCTGAGGAGAGAAAGGGACAATTCCCGACAGCCAAACAAAACTCACCGGTATGTCTCCGGGAGGCAGGAGGACACTGGAGTGGGACACTAGGGAAGCCTCGGGGGACCATGCACACTCCACCCAGACAGATCTCAGAGACTCAATTGAACCCAGGAGCCTGAAGCTGAAGGCAATAGCGCCAACCTGAGCACGGACATAAATGCTACTTGATTGAAGCAACTAGCATAATTGCTGCCTGATGAAAATCGGAGAGCGGCACACCAGGGTGAGGAGCACAGAAAGGACAGGGACGACTTGCTTACACTCAGTAATTTTAGGTCTCACAGCAGCTGAGAGACAGAACTGATCCTCACATACAATTCATCTCACTCGGATCCATACGCCCCATACTGAAAAGACACACAAATCACTGACCAAACCCCAACTTCAACAGTGAATTACTCGACCAGCTGTAAATCGTGTTAAATATCTCGTAACCTCAATTTACATGTGGTGTGATTACGCACAGTTAACAGGCTGTTCTGAGAAGACCTCCAGCCCTGCGACCCCCGCAAGGAGTATTTCTGGACACGACCAATAAGAAGATGCCAAACAGCTGTTCTGCTACAGGCTGCTGCACAGACATGGAGGCTTTCCACAGAGACACAGTTCAACGTTTTGCAACATACTGTCTCTGCAAGAACACGATACCGCATGCTCCTCCATTTATGGTGCCTCTCAAAAGGTCTGCAAAACGAATCCACAACAGGAGGGAGTTACAGGAAGTTAAGGCACGAAAACTCAAGGACACCTTCAATGTTCGCTCACAAGTGAATGGATATACCTGTGTATCACAACGGCAACCATACTGTAGCTTCACGTCTTCATACTTACAGCCCCTGTAAGAGCCCCTTACTTACAAAGAGTGACACCCCAACTGTCCCTTTATAGTAGTCAAGTTGTGAAGTATAGTCACGGACATATAAAGTTATTTTACTGAGCCTGGCTTCAGACGGATCGATCTAGCAAAGCTAACAGCACCGCTCCAAATATCCCGCACTAATATTAGTCTTTAACCCCGCAGGTCAACTGAGGGCACCGATTTTCTACAAGCCACTCCCACAGTCAGCGGGACAATAGCAACCTCGTACCAAGTTAACCCTTTTAAAAACAGGACAAGGGGGGGGGAACCTTACCCCTCCGCTAGTGACAAAATGAAACGATTAAAGGAGAGCATTCAGAAAAATCCGCAGCCACCTTCTTATTCATGTGGACAATCACCGCACGGTCACCGAAGGCTCCTGAAAACAACGATCCTGCAGCAACAATGAATGAATAATGTATGCATTTTAGGCTGGAAATAAATAATCAGGTTGCATTTTCAAGGCAGGGAACGAAGAGAGGAGGAAACGTGATCCCACAGCCCAGCAGAAGCACCTTCAGTGAGTGGGGCTGTGAAACTAGCAGTTCGCGACAGGGATGGCTTGAGCAGGGCTCCCTTTCTGTAATCTTCATTGTTCACCCCGTATTTCCACTAAAGTTGAGCTGGGCTTGCGGCTCATCTCGCACCACTTCCTGTTTTCACTGAAAAAGCAACATGGTAACTAACGGTTTTTACGACTGAAAAATAATTCACCCATTGTTTATTTCTGGAGTCAATTACGAATTATTGCATCACTAATAGCTCCAGTACTGTACAGGAAGAATGGGCTTAAATTAAAGACGTCCCATGCAAACAATACTAAACCGTAACTATTTCGTCTTCACAACTGACCCCGCTTGCAGTACTGATCTATTGTTTGACTCGTATTGCTGTTATTACGCTATGCAAATCTTGTATTTGTTTAAAACACAGCACGACAAACTTAAATCCAAACTGTGACCCACATTCAACGTAACTGTTAACTACACAGATAAAACCCCCCCGACTAATTTACTTAAAGACAAAGAAGCCACTGAGTGGTAACTTAATATATTTCTCGCGTGCATTTGCACAATAACGAAAACACAATTAAACGAAAACGGGAGAGCTAGTTTATTCTTTTAAACCACAGGCCCCGGGTAGCAATAGAGGCAGAGGAGAACCAGTGATGTTTTTTGCGAGCCCCAGTCGTTAACGGGGATGCAGTCAGCACTCCGCGAAGGAGAGAAAGACAAACGCTGGTTTCGGTGGGGACCAAAAAGCACATCCTGACAACTGCACCCGACCCCCACTCCGTGACATTTAACCGCGTCCCTACCTCCAGTTCCGTCTGAATTTTCGTTTAAACTGCCCGAGGAGTCATGGTGAGTGCCCACACACCCACCCATGGGTGTTTAAGCCTCTTGTTTTCTCTCCCCCTCTACGAACTCTCTTCCTTTCGGACTCGAGACTGACACACCGCGAGCATCAGCTGGGAAGAGGCGGGCTGTGCACACATCATCACAAGGTGACCGCTCCAGAACAGGGGAGAGACAGCACAGGCAGCGAGCGCGGCAGGGAAAAGGCAGGATATGAGCAGAAAAGCAGAAATAGCAGGCGCTTAATTAAAATAACTTCGTTACCGCGTGGTTGTGTCATCCGGCGCTCGACGCTCCCTCTCTCCTCCCTCATGTTTTTCGAGCCCTGGTGTTCTGTGTATTGCTTTAACAGTGTGAGTGTGCACTGCAGACTCCGCTTGTACTAAATGAATTTTTTAATACAGAACTGGACGAAGGAATCTTTAAACCGTATGTTTTACATTTTTTTAACTTCAGTAAATAAAACTATTTTGTAAATGGCAGAGCTGAATGTCTTCCTCTCATTAGGCACTAATTATTCCTACATGTTCTTATACTGTATGTTGTGGCAATGTTACAGTATCCTGAATGCAATTTTGGGTAGCATGCTTTGCTTTGCATCTATTTATATTGACGTAATGGAGCATGCTTTTCAATCTCATCAGCCACGTTCCCTATCAAGCACTGGAGCTCTAAAAGTTTAATAACGACTTTTCTTTTCTGATTTATTTAGAGAATACCAAGTGAGTTCATAGATATACCACAGCCTTATCATGGCAATTATAGAGTGAATAATTATTCGCTATCACTGCCATCCAGTCCACTGCTTTCGCTGTACTTGAATACAGCCAACATCTTGATTGTTAAATTGATCTTGTTAAATGTCACTTAAAAAGATAAGAAGCCTCTATGAGGGAGTACATTGAAAATGGCAGTCTGAGTAGGGCCTGTGCTGGGGCTTTTGAAAGTTGGGCATCACACTGCATTGTGGGGTGCAGTCTCATCGACAGGACCACGGGGTCAGAGGTGCACCCCCAAAGTCATGAAACTGGAACACTGGAATGAACGCCCAGTAGAATCATTATGGGTGGCTTTCTGGGACAATCCCGTAATTACATTTACTGTGTGTCTTCTTCCCTCATATACAGTATATGTGACGAGTTTAGTTTTCCCTGCCCCTGCGGGTGTTTGATCAACACTGCTTGCAGGCTCCATGCACACACAGACCTTAGACCTTATCCTTAGGCAGGGGAAAACTCAGGGACACTGGAAGAGTAGATCTTGGTTTCAGAGGGGGGTGATGTCACTTCTGTAACTTGCTCGGTGCACTGAGCCCTGCTACATCTGCACCAATACGTGTGAACAGAGAAGTATCGGGTCCCCTCGTCCTCAAGTACTCAAAATCCTCAAAGACACTGAGGAAATCAATCCAGTGGACTTCTTCAGAATCAACAGAGAATCAGGCACCAGGACACAGAAGACCAAAATACATGGAAAGTGCATTTAAAACCCACAGCAGGAGGCTCTTCTTTACTCAAAGGGTTGTAGGAGTGTGGACTAAGCTGCCCAGCCTTGTTGTTGAACTTCTGGGCTGGGCAAGATCAAACAGCAACTGATTACCAAATGGGCCAGAAGGGCAAAGTTTCCTCTGTTTTGGCAATAAATATTCCTACGTTCTTACATGTATGTGTTGTGCCACTATTGCAGTATCCTGAATGCAGTTTTGGTAAGTATATTGATAAGCAAATTCTGTACTACGAATCTCCTTATTATGTCCATTTAGAGTTATGGTACCTATCAAAGCTGTTTTGCTACGAATAATACTGCTATCAAAGTTGCTGTGAATGATGATATAGAACACTTTTAAGAAAATCAGACAATTACACAGTGCATTTAATTCTGGTTGGAACCAGTCTGTTCCAACTCCAATAGTCTATTAAACAACGTGCCTAGTTACGTTCTTAGACATACTGTAACTAAAGTTTTCATTAAGGTCTTGTTCAGTTAAATACTCCAAAATATCCATCCATTTTCTAACCACTTGATCTGGGACTTAGTTGCAGAGGGGCTGGAGCCTATCCCAGCAAGCAGTGGGCACAAGGCAGAATACACCCTGTACAGGGCACCAGTCCATCTTGGGGCACACAGAGACTCACACCAGGGCCACTTTTACCAGAAACCAAACTAACTAGTATGTCTTTGGGCTGTGGGAATAAATCCGATCATCAAATTCCACACAAATAGCACCCCCGGTATTGAACCCAGGGCCCCTGTGCTCCAAGCATCAATGCTAACCATGGTGCCACCCTACTCAAAACATTAATCTCATTAATGGTGCTTATAAATCACCTTACAGCCTGGGTAGAAGTGTTACAGTTGTGCATCTAATTAAATAATTAGTCCAACGATGTAACAGAAAATATGGTTAGAACAGAAAACAACAACAGAAAACACCAGAAGGACACCTGCAGGAACCTGAATCTGATGCTTAACAGAATTTGAAGGGCTCCAACTTTAATTCATTGTATAAATTCAAACAGTATTGGATACAGCTGCTTCCACTCTGCTCTTGAGACATGGGTTCATTTCTAGCCAGGGGTACCTTCTGTGTGGAGTTTGCATGTTCTCCTCTGGGCTGTGTGTATTTTTTCATCCACATGTTCCAGTTTCCTCTGACAGTCCCCTTTTGTGTGTGTGTGTGTGCGTGCGTGCGTGCGTGCGTGTGTGTGTGTGAGAGTGCCCTGCGAACCTGCCTTGTGGCCATTGTCAGTTGCATCAGGCTCTGGCTCATTACAACTCATTGTGTTGGATTAGACTGTAACTGAACACGAATGGTTGGATAAATGTCCCGCAACGCACTCTCCTGTTGGAAGGGAGAAAAATCTTTTCTGGGCTGCAGGTGCGGGTTAAGAGGAGAGAAGACAGCAGAGCGAGGACTGGAGATATCGGTATTCTTCGGATGGGGATGCGGCCTGATTTTTCCCCTTTCACTCTGGCTGCCTGACTGCCTTATATTACCGGTCCCAGTAACCGCCGTAACTGTCAATTAAACATATTGAGAGGAGACGGTTAATTTCAGTGCCTTCGTTGTCCATCGTGGACTGTATTTAAATTAAAAACTGATGTAATATTACAGAAAAAAAATACATTACAAGACTTTCATGTTATTTACAGCAGGTACATTATTACAGACCTGTAATAAAAGACTATTGAGAGGAGACGGTTAGATTCAGGGCTTTGGTCGCCACTGGTTTATTTAAACTAAGAGCGCGACTTCGTAACTGTTTCTCCGTCCGCGCTCGTATCCCGACTCCAGCCGTGCTGCAGCGACCAGCATGGACTGGTAACGTGTACTGGAGTCACATTACACTTGCAGTGCTACCGTACCATGAACCCAGTCTCATTAATCCGCCCCTCGCGATCTCGGATCTTAATGACGTTGCATCACGGGCAGTATCCGGAGGTCAGGGGTCAGTCCAGTTCCCTCAGAGAGAGACCACCAACTTCCAAAAGGGTTCTTCCAAATTCTTGACAGTAAAAGTCTCTGGTATTCACTCTGGCAGCCGTCTTATCTCCGTTTCTCAGCTCCGAGAGACTTATCTCGGTTTTACAGATTTTACCGGAGCATGCAGGGCTGTGAACCACAAATGTAAATACTCCGAGGAACAGCTGAAGGTTAGAGATTTGCTTTTACTTGATGCTCACTTGAAAATTAATGTGCAGTAGGTGGCCGTTTTGGCTTGCTGCCTGCCAGCCCAAAGCCATCTGTCTTGTAGTCCGATTAGGTGTGATTCTGTCAGTGTGCTGATTCAGCATTGGGAAGACTTTATGCTGCTGAGATTGAAAAGACAAGTTCAGTTTAAATCTTAAATAGTGGAAAGGATCGTTACTAAAGCCCTGTGTAGTGATTATTAAGTCCCATAATTAACCAGGGGTCTGCTTGGGCCCACATTGACAAAGGTGTCCTTTTGCATTCAGTGAAGAAGGGAGAAAGAATTCTGAAGAGCCTCTCTGAGGGGCCTTTTTGTATGTGGTGTACAGCAGGGCTCTCCAGCTCTCCAGCAATTACATTTACAGCTTAACCTGAATCACTTGTAGCAAGAAGATTAGCAACAATGGTTCGTGTGCTGCCTCAGAGCTCTTTGGTCCTGGGTTCAAGTCCAGCCTGAGGTGCCCTTAGTGGAGTGTTTGCAGGGTATGTTTTCTGTTTGGTTCTGCACAGATTAGCCAGCAGCCACGTCACCCTGCAGCTCACAGCTGGAAGAGTGGCCTGCAACTATTTCAAGACTCTGAGGAATACTCACCCATAAGGTAGGCAGGCTAGTCCTGGTGCTCACAAAGGCGTTTTTTAGCGGGAGAGGATTCCTGACAGTTGAGCCCTGTGATACTCTACAGCTCTCCAGGTTCCCGTGAGGACAAGGTGATAGGATCACACCCACTGGCCTCTTCCAGTCCTTGCTTGGAGGGGTTTCAGCGTGATCAGCACTTTCTGGTCTGGTGGCTTGAGAATTTCCCTGTCCGGTTCTTCTTGCAACCTTTTGGTTTCTGAACCAGTCCTAAACCGCCCTGGCAGCACCCGGCCGCTGAAGTATCCGTCTGCATCACCTGAACATTCCCAGCAGGATTTTGGTCGACACGTGGAGACGCAGTGGAAAGGGAAATTCTTACTTACACCCACTTCCTTTTTTTTGCGCTACATTACTCCTGGGGCTGCAGAAGTGGCTGTTCAGAAATTATTCATGGTCCCCATGAAAGCATTTCCAGTAACGAATTATGCACATTGAATTCATGCCATAAAAAACTGCCCGTGCATTACACTGCGTACTGATCTGTCCGCGATTTCACAATGGCAGTTGGCAAGTGACAGTGCTGACATCGCAGAAACAGCACTCCGTTTGAGACGAGCCCCCTTAAGGACAAATTCGACGAGGCCGCCTGCGACTGGAGCGGAATATTTAATTCCTGGAGACGGCAGGAAAAGCCTTGAACGCTGGCAGCCCTCCGTAGGCCCGGGGGTCACCTGACAGTTTGCCATGGCAACAGGAGACAATCTGGGATCTCGGAAGGATTCTGTATGGAAGTGTGAGGCAGCTCAGACAGAGCAGCAGGGGCTGGGGACAGAGAGATGGACTCAGAGGGGGGTTCGCTTAGAACCAGTACAACAAAGCTCTTCATTTTTGGAGACAGTCAATATTGGTTGCAGTGGGCCGAGTAACAGCTCTGTGCTCTTGCCCTCTCCTCTTTTCAAATAACACAACAGGTAGTGTTTGTGTTGGAGGGGGGGGGGAAACTTCTCAGAGATGAGAATTGAGTGAATTCAGCTGTAGCAATGAATTATAACAGCATGTGAATTAACCAGGGGGACTCAAATGACCACAGTGTTCTAATCAACTAAGGTTGCTGCT